CGTCCTTCTAGCTACACTAAGAATCTAATGGGCATGAGACAAAATAACAGGAGAAAATCAAATTTAATATCATACATCCAGGGAATCCACACAGACAAGACATTCCAAAGACAGGCAAAATAAGTTACATATGTAATTCTGGACCAAGGAGAAGGGGGTAGGAATCTGGGACTTCAAAGGGAAGCAAAGCAATTCACAGGAAGCTGAAAATGAGTAAATGTTTGGTAAACAAATGTTTGCTGGGCCCCTCAGGACCAAGGGGAGTTGGAGGACTTTGATCAAACAGGCCTTGCTAGGTCCCTCCCTGTCTGCCATGCCTAGTTCATAGTATAACATAGTTGCCTATGGTGATAGCTCCCTTCTCAGAGTAATTCCTCCATCTACATTCTTTTCAGGCAGTTGAAGAGGAGATAAAGAGCTTTTCTTCAATCTGCTGGGTATTTATTGCTTTTTAACTCAAAATAATCTTCATGCCAAAGTGGCCCATCTTGGAGTGGCCTGCCCTTGGTGCTCCTTTTGGGCCCCTCTCTGGGCCTCTCATGAATAAATAAATAAAATCTTAAAAAAAAAAAAAAGAAGCCATAGAAAGCCCAAGAAAGAAATCCTTCAGCTGAGTGGAAATTAGCCAAGTTTCTGTTTATCATTGCAGCAATCCCAAAGCTTGCAGGCTTGAAACAATAACCATTTTATTATTTCTCATGATTGCTGGGGTTAGAAATTCAGGCAGGACAGGATTGGGAGTTAAAGCAGTCACAGACCCACCTACATTCAAAGGGAGAGCAAAAGGAGCCCATGAGAGGGGCATCAGAATTTTTAGCCAGCTTTTACCCATTACACCAGGCAAAGGGGATGTGGGAGGGGGAGTGGAGCACAGGCAGGGGGTTTGGTGAGAAGGTGGAGAGAGAAGGCCCTAAGTAACTTCCTGTAGAGCCTTAAAAATTGTGTTAAGAATTTTACATTTTATTTTCCATTCGACATGAAGACATTGAGGAGTTCTAAGCAAGGAAATTACTGTTCCTCCTGTGCTGCTGAAACTTCTAGTTTATAGCTTCTCTGCCTGTTTTCACACCATTTCATTGACTTAGTTTGGCAGAGGCTGGGATACCTTTGTATTCTGCTCACTGCAAACTCTTGGTAAAATAAGTAAGAAATACATAAATGAATTGGTTAAATAATTGCTCATCGAAGACAGCTGTGATTGCAGGGCATCAGCTTAGTGATTCTCAAACTTTAATATGTCTGTGAATCTCTGGGGGATCTTATTAATATGCAGGTTATGATTCAGTAGGTCTGGGGTGATCTGAAATTCTGCATTTCTAACAAGATCCTGTGCACACAGTTCACGCTTTGAGTAGTTACTGTTTAGAAATCATTGTGTGCCAGAATGTTTTCAGTTCAAAGAAAGAAAGAACGGATGCAGGTACCAGGCAAGCAAAGGTGAGATTATGTCATCCAGGTCCAGAATCTTCTTCCTGTCTCCTTGCTCTGCCAATCCTCCTCACCAGGTGTCACCTTCACACTCAGGTCCATTCTGGCTTCTGATGGCCTCTGCACTTCCAAAGAATCACTTCAGGATATTACAATGTATTTATTTATGTCTCTTTCTTAGGAGAGAGGAAGGCTTTTCCAGAGGTTCCTCAAAAGCCTTTCCCTAATGTCTCTGTGGCCAGAATTGGTTATTTACTCAACAGTAAATCAGTTGTAGGCAAGAGGATGGGGAGTTCCATGACTGGTATAGAATGATCAGTCTGTACTGCTAGAAGTGGGGTGTGGGGAACTGGGACTGGGAAGAAGTCTGAGCAAAGCTGGAGGGTGGGAGTAGACAACCAGCAGTGTCCACTACACTGTCATACTCAATTTGGTGAATTGCACAGAGATCTACATATTATATCTAGATCCATATCTATGTATCTACTTTTATGTCTATGTTTACATATAAAATAGGAAATCTGGCACTTTTTCTAAGAAAAAAAATTTAGGACAAATTAAAAAGTGTTACCCAATGCCCATTAACCAGTATACGGACACAAGCATTAGATGATTTAAGCTGGAGTGGAAAAGTCTGGGGCTGTGGGAAACAAAGTACTTATTCTAAAATCTACAACCTTGTTGGGTCAACAAAACAGAACTAAAACAACCTACTAACATAGGCAAATGGATTTTTTCACCCACTTGACCAACAGTTACTGGGTGATCACTATAAACAAAGATCTGGGGACGCCTGGGTGGCTCAGCGGTTGAGCGTGATCCCGGTGTGCAGGATCGAGTCCCACATCGAGATCCCTGCAGGGAGCCTGCTTCTCCCTCTGCCTATGTCTCTGCCTCTCTCTGCACCTCATGAATAAATAAATAAAATCTTAAAATAAAAATAATACTAATACAGGGAGTAGGGGAAAGGTATAGACAAAACAAGATGGTGATTTGAGCCTTGTTACAGATGGCTGTTGAAGGCTCATCATAATACTCGGCCTACCTTCGCGTATGTTTGAAATTTACCCTAACAGAAAGCGTAAAGCAAAGCTTATTGATGTGCTCAGGGATTCGGTGAAGGGAGGTGTTCGGGAAGCCCCGCCCACTGCCCTGGGAGGCCCCGCCCCTGGCCCCGCCCCCTCCGCCGTCTGCTCTCGCAGGGTTCCAGTTTATAGTGTCTCCCGACTTTCTCACCTCTCCTCGGGCATCCACTGCCCTCGCACCCCTAAGTCGCTCTCTCTGTTCTTCCCCAGGCCACACAGGCTGCTCCGAGTCCCCAGAAGTCACCCGCGGCCTCCGGACCTGGAGCCGCTGCCGCCCGCTCCCCTCCGCCCCACGGCCCTGGGGGGTTTGGTAGCGTCCGACCGCAGACCACACCCCCTCCCCGGAGCGCGTCCGCGTCGTCATGGCGACGCTCCCGGCGGCGGCCGGCGCCCGCGGAATCCCGCCCTGGAACCATCTCCCGTGTGAGCAGCCTGGGACCTGGGGCCAAGGGGCCCCCCTGGGCTGCAGCTGAAGCAGCCGGGGCCCCGGGCGGGTGTCCAGCCTCCGGTCAGCCTGAGCTGGGGTCAGAGGAGAGGTTAAGTGAGGACTGGGATGGTGCGTGGGTCTGGGGTCGACCCCTACCCCCAGCAGGTGATGGAGTAAAGGGGCGCTGAGGGGAGCAGGCGTTTGGCTGGGGTGAGAGGGCCTGCCGAGTAGAGGATGGAGCGAGGGGACCAAGGGTGGGGGGTGTGAAAAGAGACAAGGCATCACCCTGGAGTGAGTGAACTGGGATAGGAGCACTGGTGAAAATGGTTTAGCCTCTAGTGGTTCCTGCCCGAAGTACCCGCAGGGAATTTGAGGGACCCGAGCAGAGGGAGCTGGGAAGTGAACTTGAGGCAGGTGTTGACCGGATGGAGGGGAACCAAGCAGGTGTGGTGGAGGCTGTGCTGAGGAGTGGGGAATTTTCAGAGATGCTAGGGAGAGGGAGTAGGAGTAAGGGGAAAGGAGAAACTTTCACAAAATGGTTGTTAAGTACTTTCTTCAGTGTACTCAGTGTATTTTGCTTGATGTTGTGGACTGTGGGGAATCTAAAGCTATGACCTTCTCCAGAAAAAAACAAAACAAAAACAAAAACAGACACATAAAGATCCACATAGGATTCACGTTCAATCTCAGTGGCATCACAGAACTGCACTCCCAAGCATGTACAAGGACCCCAAGTTTAGAGACTTGGCTATGGAAGATAGCAAGATGTGTGGGCTCTGTAAAGTGCCGTGTACACGGCGATGAATCATTAGTACCGATGAATAGTAGAGGCAGTAGTTGCTAAAGAGTGTTGAAGAGTGTTGAGGTCGGTGTGGACTTTATGAAGAGGGTAGAGTTTAACGTGGATGTTAAGGAAAAGAAAGTCCGACAAAGGGTCCACATGAAGGGAACCCTAGATCCTGTGACAGAAGTCCTAGAAATCCCTTCTGTTGGTGCTAGAGGAGGTCGATTGGCTACTCCACCTCCTCATCACTCCAGAGACAGGCACATGAAGGTAGCTCAAAAATGCTAGTGTCTGATTTCTGAAATCAGAGAGGGAGACAAACCATGAAGGACTCTTTAGAAAACAAAGGGAGGAAAAAAAAAAAAAGAAAACAAAGAGAGGGTCGCTGGAGGGATGTGGCTGGGGGAGATGGGGTACTGGGGGATGGGCATTAAGGAGGACACATGATGGGATGAGCACTTGGTGTTGTATGCAACTGATGAATCACTGAACTCTACATCTGAAACTAATGATGTACTGTGTTGGCTATTTCTATTTAAATTAAGAAGTGTATATATAAAATAAAAACAACAACAACAAAATGCCAGTGTCTCCAAATATTAAAGGGTTTCATGATCACATGCAATGAAGAAACCAATTTGGAGAAATCTCAGAAGAGGCCTGTTGAATGATTTACTTCAGCATTTCCCAATTTTATTTGACTATGAGTGCCTTTATTTTTCCCTTCAGTTTGCCGCTCCTCATAGCTCGAGAGCATCTCAGGACTACATTTTGGGAAAAGCTCTTTTTTTTTTTTCCTAAAATTTTACTTATTTATTCACGAGAAACACAAGAGAGAGAGGCAGAGACACTGGCAGAGGGAGAAGCAGGCTCCATGCAGGGATCCCAACGTGGGACTCAATCCCGCCCGGGTCTCCAGGATCACACCCTGGGCTGAAGGCAGCACTAAACCGCTGAGCCACCCGGGCTGTCCCATTGGGAAAAGCTCTTGAGGAGAATTAAGGACCATGGGTGGGTTTTGAGCAATGGCATGTTATTGGGTCATGATGTGTGACACAAGATTAGATTAATAGGACATCCCTGTGTGGGAACGGAGTAGCAGGAGAGGTAGGGAGGTAGAGAGGGTCTGGTTCACAGTAAATCATGCAGTCACAGAGGTACATTTGTCCAAGACTGAGAAAAAAAATATGTGTGTGCTTTCTCATACTGCCTCTGTTTTTTTTTCTCCAGGAAATGACCTTTGGCTCTAAAAAGAAGACTCGTTTTTCATGATAAAATGGCAGTGGTGAAAACCCCCAGCAGAGAACTAAACAGTGCGGAAGAACCTTTTACTAACATATCCACCCTCCTTCTGAAGAGCCTAGTGGAGGAGCCCAAGAAAAGAACAGAAGTACCTAATCACCTTCTAGAATCAAGTAAGTGAGTAGAAGAGAGATTTGCTTTACAATTTACATCTTCCCAGAGGACCCAAAGTCCAGAAAGTGTAATGGGATTTTTGGTGCTGATTTCTCTATATTGTTTGATAGGCTCACAATAGCTTTTATTATTAGGAACAATGGTTCTATTTAGGTCCATCTACTCACGTGGTAGAGTTTTGTGGTGTAAATGAGTCACCAAGTTCTGTTGCTTCCACTTCCTCAAACATCATACCTATCTGTCCCCATCGCCTTGTTCCTCATCCTCAGCAGGTCACTAGGATATCATAGTGCTCTCCTCTGGATCACCCTTCACACCCTGTCAGTTTCCTTTGTGGAATCATGGCTGGCTCTGTCCCTATCTTGCTCAGGTACTCTCAGCAGTTCCCCATGCATATGGAAGAGAGTTGCATTTCCTTCACTTGACATTTGGCTCCCTCTGCTGTGGCTGTAAGACTGCCCACCCAGCACTATCCTCATGCTCCGGCACCTCTCATCCACAGCTCCAACCACACCATTACTCCTCCTCTTTCAAGACAACACCCACCTTATACCACCTCACCTTTTCCCATGTGCATCCCTTCCATTCCATGCATCTGGAAAGCCTAGTAAAATCCTCTAGCTTTTATATAAGAGGTTAATCATTTTGCCTACATTATTCTCACTTAATCCACACACATCAACCTCCATTTTTATTTTACTGTTGGGGAAGTCGAGACTCAGAAAGGTCAAAGGAATTCCCCAAGGTGGCACAGCTGGGTGGAGAGGTGGTGTTCAATCACAGTAGCCCAAGTCCACCTCTCTACCATCAGAGAAGTAGGTTGGTTACTTCTCACATCTTTCCAGGCCCTTTGAAAATTCTGGAAATGTAATATTTTGATGTGGCTCTTGTCACTGTAGAACCTATTGAGTGCAAATTAGTATATTTGACTATTTCTGGGAATTAACAGAAAAATACCTGTTTGATGTCTATTTTTCAGCCCTAAAAACTGAAGGAAAATGTTCAGCATTTAAAAAATTTATCAAGTAATGTTCATTTCAATACTTACAAAATGATCAAATAACCTAGAGAAATTACCCATCCCCCAGAAACATCATCCTTACCCCATTCCAGCCTTTTGGTCTGGCCCAAAGCCGATGACAGTGTCAGCTCATCTGGTAAGGAGCAAGAACACCAATCGTTCATATGCACCCCAGATGTTTACAAGAATCACAGTAGGCTAAACAATGCGGGAGGGTGTGTGTGGCTCATAGGGTTTGGTGATAGCCAAAGGTGAAAGGTCATGACTTGTAAGAAACCAGACAATGCATTGGTATTGAGGAAGGCAGTTTAGTGGTTGGAATCCAACAGACCGAGGCTTGATTTTTAAACTACCAGCTATGGGCAAGTTGATTAATCTCACTGTGTCTCAGCACCTTCACCTGCACAATGGAAATAGTACCTACTGCTTAGCGCTGGAGTGAGGATTAAGAACAAATGCCCGGCATAAGCAGCGGAAGCACAGAGACAGTTGTGTAGTGGGTTCTCAGTGCCGCCCCTGCTTCTGCCTAAATAAAGAGCTGGGAAAAGTCCAAGTTAGATCTGGACACCCTTGTGAGATCGGCTGTTTTAACCTTGTTCTCAAAACTGAAGAAAAAAAGAAAGACATTCACATTACACTAATCCAATTTGAAACTTTACTGTCCAGAGCGATAATTATTCAGAGCTTTACAATTATTCTATCACATTATAATTCTATTCAGAGGAAATCAAATGATAACCGGTAAATACACAGTAACAAAACTAAGCAGTTGGTGTTTGGATTCTTTGAACTGTGCATTCATTACATAATAAGTAATCTCAGTGTTATATGGAGCAGCAAAGATAGGGTGCGTGCTCTTACAAGCTCATGTTTTATTATGAAGACTTGTACAAAATGTGAAGAGCTGATTATTTTAGTAGGTAATAAACAATACATGAGAATTTGCATTGTGATGATAACATCTCCCAAATGATGTGTAAAAATAGAGGGAGAAGCAGTACAGTTCATTTGGAATAGATCATTAATCTTGTTGACAGCTGTATCCTCTGTTTGAAACTTTCATATGCTTAAAATATCCTAAATTAAAGAGAGCCCACATTAATAGGATCTTCATTTATTTAATATTTTCTTTTATGTCTCATCTCATGGTGTACTTATCTACATTGTTTTTATAGAGGTTTATGCAAAACTTCTGAAAAATAAGGTCATACAGGCAAAACCTGGCATATTGCATTTTGGAGGCTATCAAGTAGACAAACAACACCAACAGATTCTGGTAGGTTTTTTTTAAGTGGGATAATTTATCATAGTAATGAAATGACATGAATGTTCTGCATTTATATTACTCATTCATTTAAAGAACAGCAGCATCTGCAGAAGTGCAGATGTTAAATTGGGCCAGAAAGGGGGTTCTAGGATGAGAAATTCTTAAGTAACACCAGTGTCTTTGGAGAAGCTACTTTCCCCCTTCCAAAGGCTCCTCACAGCATTCTTTCCCAAGAGGTGTCATGGCTAACTGACTCTTAGAGGCTAAGAACTAGGAACTATGCTTTATGTCTCACATGATGCAATTTCATCCTTTATACCAGCTCTGTGGAGGTTGTTCTATTATTCTCGCTATATATGCGAGGAAACAAGGATTCCAGAAGGTTAAATAGTTGGCTCAAGAATACACAGCTAGTAAGTGATAGAGACCGACTGACTCTTAAGCTGCCCTCTTCCAAACTAGTGCCTGCTTGGTCCAGCCTACACCACCAGGGAAAGGGGTATTCCTCTTCTAGGAGGCTCCAGTGAGCTTTCTGTTTCACCTGCTCAGGTCCAATGCCCATGCCTAAATCAGCCATTCTGGTCAGGTCTAGAAATCAGATAGATTTTAGCCATGTCTGGGTGGCAAGGGTCAGCTCTACTGAACAGGTTCCAGAAGGGACATTTAAAAGGATGGGCTGCAGTCCACCACAGAGTTTCCTGGGTCCCCTTCATTGACCTGCATGTTCAGACTGGGTGGGTTCTGGGTGGCTATAACATTCCTAACCTCTATGCTTATAGGGACCTGAACAGTTGTTTTTTTGTTTGTTTGTTTGTTTGTTTGTTTTTAAGAGAGAGAGTAGGGAGGGACAGAAGGAGAAAGAGAGAGAGAATCTTAAGCAGGCTCCATACCCAGCCTATAGCCTGATGCAGGATTTGATCTCACAACCCTGAGATCATGACCTGAGCTGAAATCAAAAGTCAGATGCTTAACTGACTGAACCACCCAGGTGCCCCAAGACCTGAAGATTGAAGTCAGCTCTACAACCTTGGTGACCTCACATTGATCCCCTAAGGTCACACTGAGCAGGACATCTCAGAACTACTCCCACTGGGCTCTGGATCTGAGCAAAATGACCTCTGTGTGTGGTTGGAGCGGGGCAGAGGCAGGCTCCCTTCACATGAGCCCTCTGAGACTCTGGCTCTGTACACGATGTACTCCCTCTGGCTCTGTCTCCAGACACCACGAGAGTCTCTTCTTTTAGATGTGATGCATTCTTAGAAGCCATGTCTTAAAGTGGATCATTTTAAGAACGAATTCTAACTCTTGTATTAGATTTCTCAGAGCAAGAGGAAGAAGCTGACAAATGCTAAAGCTGTCAGGAAGTGAAGTTAGGTTTCTATCAGGCAGTTCCCAACAAACAGAGGATGCCATTTTTGTGCATTGAAGTGGGTAGAGAGAGAATAAATCCAGAGACAAACCTGTTAGGTGCCAAGTGTTTCCCCTAAGGAAAAGGGTTACTTATTTTTTTTAAGGGTTACAATTTAAAACAGCGATTTAGGAAATCCACCCATCAGCCTACAAGGATGTATTTCTTAGAATACCATCTCAAAGATGAAGGTTAATAATTGATTTTGGAGCCTATTTTTCCTGGTATTAGGTTTGACATCTCAATGGCGATAGGGTAGATCTAAAATCATTATCTTTCGTAATTGCTCACTGTTTATAATAAATAATGAATGTAATGAATACACAATTCACTCCCCACCCCCCAGTTCCCTCAATCTCCTTATTCCCCCCACCCAGTCTACTCCTACTATAGGCAATCATGAATCTGCTTTTGGTTGGTATGGATTTAACTGTTCAGGACATTTCAAATGGAATCATATAATATGTAATCTTGTGGGACTTCTTTCAGTTAGCATAACGTTTCCCAGGCTCATCCAGCTTATAGCATCTATCAGTACTTTGTTCCTTTTCATGACCAAATGCTATTCCATTATATGGCTCTACCACATTTTGTTTATTCATTCAACAATTGATGGACATTTGGGTTTCAACTTTGAGGCTATTATGAATAACACTATCTGGACATTCGTGCATGTGTTTTTGTGTGGACATATTTTCAGTAGAATTAGATTTAGATATATACCAAAGAATAGAATTATTGGGTTGTATATTATGTTAGCTTTTTGTGGCTGCTATCATAACCACAAATTGAGGATCTTAAAAAAACAGAAATTTATTCTGGAGGACAGAGTCCAAAATCAAGGTGTCAGCAGAGCTGTGCTCCCTCCAGAGGCTCTTGGGGAGAATCTTGTTTCACCTCTGGCAGTTTTTGGCAGATGTTCCTTGGCTTGTGGCTACATAACTCCATTCTCTACCTCTACCTTCACATGGCTTCCTCTGATTCTCTGTCTTCTCTTCTCTTAAAAGGATACATCACTGGATTGGGCCTACCCAGGTAATTCAGGATGATTTCACCTCAAGGTCCTTAACTGAAAATCTGCAGTGATCCTTTTCCCAAATAAGTTCACATTCACAGGTTCCAGGTATTAGAATGTGAACATACTTTCTTGAGGCCACCATTCAACTCATTATATATATATATATATATATATATATATATATATATATATATATATAATTTTTATTTTTATTTTTTTAATAAATAAAAATATATATTTTTATTTTTATTTTTTATTTTTTTAAGAAATAAAAGCTTACTGAATACACCACAAGGGAGCAGCAGACAGGACAGCAGAGCAGATGCTGTCTGCTCAACTCACTATTTGTATTTTTTTACTTGTACATTTCATTTGCATTTCTCTAATGACTAATGATGTTGAACATCTTTAGACCAGGAGCTTACGGGTCATGATGTAAAAAAAAGCTTGTGAAGGGCTTCTGGCTGGCTTAGTCAGTAGAGCGTGTGACTCTTGATCTTGGGGTATAGGTTCCAGCCCCACCACATTGGATGTAGAGATTACTTAAAAATAAAACCTTAAAAAAAGAAAAGAAAGCTTATAGAAGAGAAACCATTTGAGATAGCCTAAAAGGAAAGAGAAGTGGGAAGGAGATATTCAGGGCATAAAGGAAGATGTTGAGAGAGGTTCATGGTGCATGCTGCATATTTGGGCACTAGTATACCATCTGGTTTACCTGGATTGCAGGGTTTGGGGAGGAAAATAAAAGCTTCATTCTGTTGTAGAGCAGACACCGTCTCTTTTATACAGCACAATGCCTAACACATAGGAGGCACTCAGTAAACACTTGTGAATGACACTGAATTCACTTTACTGGAAGAGAGTGACTTGGTGAAGACTTACTCCAAGTAAATGCAGTGTAAAGTCTAAATAATCATACTGCTTCTCTCAGACATTAAAACAAACATGCATAGATAAAAGTACAAAATGATTTCATCTTTATAACATTCTGGGAAATCTTGGGAGGGCCAGCCTCCTATTTCCACCAGCAAAATTAAGCGGAAGGCTAAGGCAATTACCTTGAGATTCTGCCAAACAAGAGGGAAAATCCAGCTCTGCTTTTATCTTGGTTTTGCTACAGGAAACTATGCAAATTGCCCAAGAATGGAATGATTGAATGTGGGATTAAAACCACAATAAATTGTTCATTAACATTTGAGATTGATCCAGGTGGTTAAAGGATTTAAAGTGTTTTATTTGGATTCTTATTGAGATCAATGCTTTGACTTACTTTAAAATTTGAAAGAATGTTTTGCAATTTTCTCAAAACAAGATCTCTTAAATTGTTTTTTCTCCCCTCTGTAGAAAGATTTTGTTTGTCTGGAAAACTGTATTTAGTAAGTAAATAATTAGTTTTCTCATGAGACAACCGGTGTTGATGTTGCCAACCCAAAACAAAGTTGTTAGCCTATACAGCCTCATCTCAGATAAATTAACAATTCCTTAGGCTGATCTGTTCTGAAATAATATTAGTTTTCAATTCTCTATTGCAGCCTTTAACACCACTCCCTCAATACATAGCCAAATACATCTTTTATTATCATGAATGGGATCTATGTTGTTTTAATTCTTTGTAAAAATTTTTCTAAACATACATCTATTCATTTTAGAGAAAAAGAGAGTGCTTGCACACAAGCCAGTTGTGGGGAGGAGCAGAAGGAGAGGAGATAGAGAATCCCAAGCAGATGCCCCCCCTAAGTGTGGAGCTGGATGTGGGGCATGATCCCAGGACCCCAAGATCATGACCTGAGCTGAAATCAGGAGTCGGAGGATTGACCAACTGAGCCACCGAGGCACCCATTTAATTTTTAAGTTTTAAATTTCTTTTTTTGAGAGAGAATGAGAATGCACAAGCAGGGGTGGGGTGTGAGGAGAAGGTGGCAGGGGAGGGAGAAGGGGAGCAAAAATCTTAAGTAGGTTCCATGCCCAGTGTGGAGCCCAGCTTGGGGCTCTGGATCTTTAACCCCAAGAACATGACCTGAGCTGAAATCAAAAGTTGGGTTCTTAACTGACTGAGCCACCCAGGTGCCCTTATGTTGTTTAAATCTTTAAGAAATTAATTCAGTATTTTCTTATTGCTAATTATTATTCATTTGACAATGTAGATATTTTTACTAAATTCCAATGCTCAGCCTTCACATACAAATGAGTAGTTGGGTGTGTTTGAATTTGCTCTGCCACAGTCAGGTTGGAAGAAGCTTGAGGTTTCTGTATTTTTTTAAATCAAGATGTGGCTCAGCCATCACCCACAGGTGCTGGCTGCATCTCCAGTCTCAGGAGAGCCAGCGCCTGTCTCCTCCCTTGGGACCATCCAGGAATATTGGAACAGCTGAGCTGGCTCAGCAGCTTAGAGCACAGACCTCTGGTCTTTAGACTGTGATGCTGCTTGTTGCAAATTGACCTAAACCCATGAAGTTATTTCTCATTGTCAGGTAGATAATGAGAATCCAACTCTGACCAGAGGTGGGAGTCATACGTTCCTTCCCACCAACCTTGCTACTAGGTACATCTACTGCAATGAAAACAGGTCTGAGAAGAAATTCTACATGCATATGACACTTGCTAGCAAGCAGGCAAAAAAGAATGGCCATACTTGCAAGCTCCAGGAAAGCCCAGCCACTGTTCCTTGCAAGGAAGCTTTGCTAGCAACACATGTAGTATCATCCGTTGGTAGGGTTGGCCTGCCTTCCAACTGGCTGACGGAACTTTTTTGTGCTGTGCAAAAAAGGGATTTCTGGGTCTTTGAAGTCACTCTAAAGTATACTGGCCTCTGGGCTCACCAGATTCTCAGATCTCTTTTATTTAAGAGCAGGAATCCCTGTATGGGAAATTTCTAGTTAGTACATATATCCCGAACATCCCCTATGCTAATATTGTAGACCTTCCAGTGTCAGTTCAGGTGAGCAGGACTGACATGCTCTTAGTAGCCACCTCTGGAATAAGGACTCTGGATTAGGATCTTGCAGTGTGTACTAAGCACTCCCGGAGTGTGGATTACTGATTTCTTCTAGGGTTAACCACCCTTGAGATGCATATTAAAAGCAATCCCTATACCCTTGTTTGTTTCCCTGTCCTTATTGGATTTTTTTTTAAGTGACAGCCAATATAACCTCCTCTGCTCCCAGTTCTTCCTGAACTCTGGCTCAAGGTCTCCAACTTGAGGGCCTCCCTTGATGACAAGCATGGGGACAGAGTTCTCTGTCAAGACATCCAGGCTGTGGGGCTGCATGGTTACTTCTCCATCCCTAGACAGGTCCCACCACCCCAAGATTCTAGGTGTGATGGGCACAGATCCCGGACATCTTGGGTCCCAGCATACCTGTCTCCCCAGTCTCTCTTGGAAGGACCATCTTGTGGGTAGGGCCCCAAGCACCCACACCTTCCCCAACACTGCCCCTGCGCAGGGCACTTTGGAGGTCCAGAGCAGCCTGGAGAACTTTTTTTTTTTTTAACTTTTAGCATATTAAAAAAAAGAAAAGCTATGCCAAAACAGGTCAGCAGGTCACTTTAGGAATGTTTACAGGTGACAAATAACTTTTAACAAATGCAAACACCACTGTAACCTCATCCAGGAATAATGTCTGAATTTTAGTTTACGGATTCATTGAACATGAGGCCTTGGGCAATGGGCCCTGTGACAGGCCCACCCTCTGGCCTGGACTTTGGAAACCAAAGGCCTCTTAACTGTCCCCTGGCCCAGGTGAAGCTCAAATCCCCAGATCCCACGGTTCTTGATCCCATCTCAAGAAAAGGGGGGAAACACTTCTACTGAGAGACCCAGTTAATTTATGCAGCAGGTTGTCCTGCCTCACAGGAGTGGCCCTCTCCTGCCACCATCAGAGAACTCCTGACTTCCAACTTCTTTTCCATTTACCCCAGGGACGGATTGGAGGCTACACTAGCCACATGCTTTTTCCTGATTTTTTTTTGACCACCTAAGTGTTGCAGGGCCCCCAGGATCAGTGGCATGTAATTTGAGAAATTGTGGAAGTTGGTGGGTGGCTGGCTTCTTAGTTGAATCACAGAATGAAATGGAGTTGTGAAAATTGATTAATGAAAGACAACATGGTTCATAGTGGAGGTGGGAGGCTAGCAGCGAGAGCTGTCATGCCCCATCACTCCTCTGTGATTACAGACCCAATAGGAAGAGATGTGACTTGCAAGTCCATACATTAGGTATTGCTTGACTATCCTAGCAGGAAGAAGGAAAGTTTTCCTTCTTCCCCAGCAACAGCCCAGCCAATGAGGGACGGTCACAACTAAGCCCCTATACTTCAAACTCCCAGTTTACTCCAATGGACTTTGTGTTTATAACAATACTGCCCCCCCCCCATAAAAGACCATTCCTCTCCCTTGGTCTGGGGACTTGTCTATGATTTTTTTAGTATCCTACTTGTCCTGGTTTACAATTCTCTGCTATTCCTGAATAAACTCACTTTTGCTGGCAAGATAACTGAAAGTTTTATTTTTGAGGTTAGCAGAGCTCAACAAAAAGGCACACATGGTAACTAGTCAGGATTGGAGATGATAGGTACATAAGTAGGATACATGCCTGGGGACTGAGGCTCTGGTAAGTGCCCTAATCTAGGCAGAAGGCACTTGAGTATACTTTGTTATCCTTTACAGGGTGTTCTTTTCAGGGTTCCTGGCTGGCCCAGTTGGTAGACCATGCAACTCTTGATCTCAGGGTCATGAGTTCAAGCCCCACATTGGGGGAGTCTACTTTTAAAAAATTGTAAATAGTGTTGTGTTCATTGTTCTTTAAATGGTGTATAGTGCATTTCAAATCTTTTAAAAAGTTAAACAAGTTCTATCTCCTCAAATCCCTTTAGAAACAAAAGGAGGTATAAATAAATGAAGGGAATATGCAGATAGATAAAACAATGTTTTTTCTGAGTGCTTCTTTCTCTTGTAGAATCTGGTCAATATTTCCAACGGAGACATACATGTGCATATCTTACCCCCTCAAACCAAATACTTTCAGATCAAGTATGTGAAAAAGGTAAGCATGTCCAGTTGCCTCTTCTCTGTGGTGTTCTTTGTTGAGTTGTGGCTTTCTGTGTGGTGGATCTATTTGGGATGGGTGTGTAGTGTGCTGCTTCCACAGCCCTGCTGTGTGCCCCGAACCTACTTGTCTTCTAGGAACACTGTCTTGTCCCCGGCTTGTCCCTCACAATCACCATTACATTTTCTCCAGATGAGTGGCGATACTATTATGACTGTATTCGGGTTCACTGTCAGGTAAGTTTTCTTAAAATTGTTTTTTAGGGGGTTAAGGGAGGGGGGGGATGTCAAAACTTATATCCTGAGGGAAGAACAAAGAGGAATGGAATGAGAACTTTGTGTAGTTTTTCTCTGGTTTCTCGCCCAGTGCATGGGTTCCTTGGGCAGCCAGTGTGAGTGGCATAGAGGGTCCTTGTCCAGTGACATGGGTTCCAGGTACAAAAGCCACCAAGAACAAGGACAGAGCCATGAGATATCATTTGCTTCAGGTTTTCTGTCTGCCCTGGCCCAGAAACCTTATTTATCATGTAGTGCTAGGAGTTAAGAAAGTCTTTTTCAAAGAGCTTAAATAAACTCCTTTAAGTGCTAGGCTACCAAATTAGCAACACCCCCGAACTGTGATGATAAACCCTATGGACTAGGTGGTGTCATGTAAGAATGTCCTCAGAAGCAATTCTGGGGGTATGCAGGGAGATAGGAGCCTGTGTGGCCTGACCCCAGATGGCTGTGCCATGTGAGTCCCTTTGAGACTTTTCTAGGTTGCCCAGTTCATCCTGTGGCCTCCAGCCAGAGCCAGTTCTGCATGCTGTCAATCCCTTTCTCCAGACAATACCCCCTACGCTTCCCTTTGCTCTCCTAGGTCCAGCTCTTACAAGTCAAGAAGCCTTAAGATGAACTAAACTTAAATTTTTAGAACTAAAGTAGAAGATTATCTTTTAGTAAACAATGAGTTTCAGTCTTTAAAAAGAAAATTAAAAAGCTAAACTAAAAACAAAATTAGATGGGACAACTAACAGCTCAATATCCATCTTTTTATATCTCGAGAGACAGTTGAGCATCTGCCTTTGGCTCAGGGCATGATCCCGGAGTCCCAGGATCGAATCCTACATAGGGCTTTCTGCTTCTCCCTCTGTCTATGTCTCTGCCTCTCTCTCTGTATCTCTCATGAATAAATAAATAAAATCTTTTTAAAAAATAAAAAAATAAAAACAAAATTAGAGTACGCTTTCAGAAGGAGTATTTATACCAAGAAAATGAATCTCAGGGACAAGTATGGTACAGAGTGCCAGGGATCTCCTGCTACTCAATGGTAATGCTAATCATACCTATCTGCACTTACACAGTGCTCTTAACTCTTTCAGGCCATCATCTGCTTCAATTCCTAAGAATACCTTTCAAGTGAAGGCAGAAATATTACCATTTTGCAAAGGAAGAAACAAGGCTGGAGAGGTCTTGTTCAAGGTCATATATTAACCAGGACAGCCAGCAGCCCTCTGTACCCAATGTCAGTTCCTTGTTGACCAACGGGTGTTGTCTGGATCAGCTAACTGTGATGGTTTCTATGTCTCAGGCTACTAAAGATTGTGTTTGCTTATAATTTTCTCAAATAGAAGCAGGTAGATTACTGTCTTTGTATTTACATGAAGGCATTGAAGGCATCATTATCTTTAGCTTTCCTGGGTAATAATGAATACTGCTTGGAGGAAATGTACTTAAAATTTCCTGCACTTGGTTTATAGCTAGGAAAGCTCAGTATTTCTAATGTTATAAGTAAGCACTCAGGTTTCTTCAGGAAATATTTTTTAGCGATAGAAAACAACATAAGAAATAAAGTATCTACAAGTTCATCTTTGAAAATTATAGCCTCCAGTATGGTAAACTTCACCTTCTTTTCCCCCATTAATTTTAGGGAGATGAGACTCTGCTTATTCCCATCCATGCCTATCCTGTCGCCAACACACTGGACTTTCCCTCATTTATAAATCTATCCAACGTTCTCCTTGGTGAAAGGTGAGTTACAAACATGAACTACCAAAATGCAGGGATCCCTGGGTGGCGCAGAGGTTTAGCGCCTGCCTTTGGCCCAGGGCGCGATCCTGGAGACCTGGAATCGAATCCAATGTCAGGCTCCTGGTGCATGGAGCCTGCTTCTTCCTCTGCCTATGTCTCTGCCTCTCTCTCTCTCTCTCTCTCTCTCTCTCTCTGTGTGTGTGTGTGACTATCATAAATAAAAAATAAAAATAAAAAAAAGAACTACCAAAATGTCATAGGTCATGAAAAGTTAAGAGACATGCATATCGAAACTTAGATTTGTATTTTTCCTAATGCCAGGTTATGCTTGTGGCTGAGTTAGACTGTACTTATAGTTGAAAAGGCAAGACAAAAACAAAAGCCCACATCTAAATAGAAAGGGAATACACTGGGCCATATAACCAAGAGGTGGATCTTCAGGCATGGCTGGATCTAAGGGTTTAAATCAGCTTGCGGGAACCTGACTTTCTTCATTTCTTGGTTCTGCTTCTCTCTGTGCAGGCACCTTTCACAAAAGACTCCCCTATCAGGGGTAAGAAAGCTGCCAGAAGTTTCAAATACTATTGGCAATGGGGGTGGTAGGGGCTAAAGGGGTTGGGGGTGTTCAAGCAGAAGTCCCAGGATTAAGTCTTATTAGACTAACTTGGATCACATGCCTGTTCATTAACCAATCTCTGTTTTGAATGAGAAAGCAGAGAGAATAGAAAGTCATTATTCAAGCGAAATCTCAGATTCCTCACCTCTGTCTTATTGGAAAAATAGTTAAAGATTCCAATTGTAATTTAAGATATGTCTTGGGTTTGTTTTTTCAGTAAATATTTATTAAATACCTACTACCTGTCTCTCGAGATCTAAAAAGATGGATATTGAACTGTTAGATAAAGATATATAATGACCACAACAGTTGTTAATACTTCTATACTGGTTGGGAAATATATAATGTCCTGAGCACTCCTCCCTTCATAAATAAGTAATACCTACAAAAAGATGTCTAATCATCTGTAAGGTTTGAATGGTAATAATATAATGAACACTGGCTTTAAGACATAAAACATGACCAGTAACTTTGCAGCTTCTACTCAGAATTTTGTGATAATCATTTCTTTGATTTAATAGTTTCGACACATACCTACGCAGCTCTAAATAACACATTGTTTCACATTGCCAGTGTGTGTTCTTTATATAAATGGAATCATACTGTATGTAAGTTCTTCTGTAAGTTGCTTTTTTTTATTCAACATTGTGGTTTTGTGGTTTCGCCATGTTAACTCACCACTACTGGGGTGTCCACTGAATGGATTGACCATAGTTTTTTTATCTGCTTTAGTTCAAATGAACCTATGGGTTGTTAACACTTTTTTTTTTTTTGGCCATGACCAGCACTGTTGTTATATATTCCTGTTTGTGGTCTGGGGCACGTATTCTAGATTTTCTCCAGGGTATACAACCAGAAGTGGAATTGTAGGTCTAGCACGAGTTCCGTGTTAACTGTGTAATGCCAAATTGTTTTTCAGAATGGTTGTACCCATTCACAGGCCCACCTTCAGTGCATGAGAATTCCTGATTTCCTGCGTCACTGCCAACAATGGGTATTATCAACTTTGACATTTTCACTGACATATATTCTTGGCCTCTTGCTCTCCCATTCTTCTATTTATTTTCCCCTGACATTTTCTGCCAGAACTCCATCCCACTGTTTTCTCCCTCTCCCTCCTCAACCTTCCTGTCTTCACCCAGGCCTGTTAGTACTAAGTAGTCTGCAAAGGTGAATCCCTCCTGGCAGGACCCACTCACTCTATGTGTTTTGAGGCCAAACATAGCTGTTTCCTTTAAATGAGCGAACATAGCAACTTTTACAAAAACCGAAGTGGAAGGAAACAGATAGCTTCCTAGTTCATGATTCCTTTCTTCCTCCCTCCGTTCCTTCTTCCTTCCTTCTTTTCTTTCTCGCCTCCACAAATTTCACACTATGTTTTGTTTGGATAATAAAGTAGGCTTAGGAGTTGAGTACAATGATCTAATAAGCTGGTGGAAACGATGTGGCTTGTAATGCAAACATTAGTCTTCGTTCTTAATACATAAATCTAGCAACTTCCCTAGAAACTTCTCCCAAACTATTCTGAACATAATCCCCTTCATTTATAATCGAATGAAAATCTCAGCCAAACAGTTTATTAAACCAAGTTATTGTATATAGTAGTATAAGATTTTTAAAAATCCTTCAAAAGATAAGCATGCTCCTCTTTTCCTCTAAACATTCTGGCAGCAGGCAATGTCTTCCCAAGACTTAATGCACTTTACTTAATGGCTTTTTACCAACTCTTAACCATCCAAACTGTCCTCTGCTGCATTCACTCTTAAAATATTGGGTAGCAGGATGGAAGGAAAGCATTTGAAAGGGCTTTCACCTGAAATGTTCTCAGTTCTTTGTGGGCTACTTTGAAGGTTGAAGGTATCACCTGAGTGGGTTCCTTATTCAGCATTCACTCACTCTTCAGAGGTTTACTGAATGCTAGTATGTGCCAGGCACCACATTAGGTTTTGAGTATGCAGAGATGCTTGAGAGCTGATACCATGACTAAGCAGACAATTCTAACATCTAATCTGGTATATTCAGAGGAAGGACACCTAACCCAGCGCAGTGGGAAGTGAGTCGGGGGCAGTCAGGATGGAGGAGCTCAGTTACAACTTCCTAGAGGAGAACATGTCTGAGCTGAGTTTTTGAAGGACAACCAGAAATCAGCCAGCAGGAGAAGGGAACAGAATAGGAGAAAAGAAGGGTGTTCCAGGCAGGGCTAGCTTGCCCAAAGTCAGAGGTGTGAAATGGCACAGCACATTTAGGACTGTCCAAAACATTCGTGCAACTGTATGTGAGTTGCAAGATCCATGGCAGGGGAAGCAGGGCAGGGGCTGAGCAAGAAGGGCCTCATAGGCTTTGCTGGGAAATTTTAGATTTTTACTACTGAAATATTTAAGCATGGTCAGATCCACTTTTCAGAAACCTCACTCTGGTGACTGGGCCCATGCAGGCAATTGCAGGGGGCTTGGCCAGGACCATCCCCACCCCCCTACTCCCCCAGGACACCTGGGACACTTTAAACATAGCCATTAGTTGCAAATATGTATATGTAGCATGAGGGTCTCAGGCCAGTTTTTTTAGGCAGAAACAAGGATTCCTTGCATATGACATATTAAGGTGTTACCTACAAATGATGGGGGTTGCCCAGATCCCAGCCAAGGGTATTTCACTGGTGAAAGGTCAAGCAACAGCAGTTCCAGAGCTGGGTGATGAGTACACCAGCTGGGGAAGGAGCGTGCCAACAGCATCTACTAGAAACCTACAGTAAGCAAACTGGTCCTTGACTTAGATGTCCCCTCATCAATACTCCATCTGGTTTCATCTAGCTCTGAAGCTATACTTCTGACTGATGGTGTGGATTCCATAACCAGTTAAGCTGATATGAGCTGTACCAGGTGACAATCTCCTGGTGGACTGTGCTGTAACTGGGTAGTGCACCAGGTTAGCTGTCTCCGGGCTACCTTCCCTCTGCAGGACAGGACAGGGCCTAGGGAGGAGGCTTCTCTCCATGGCACAGCAAGAGGCAGGTCGCGGGAGTGGTCTCACCACACATAAGCAATAATATGAGATCATTGTCTGCAGAAAAAAAAATTTTTTTTAGGATTTTATTTATGCATTCATGAGAGACACACAGAGAGAGGCAGAGACAAAAGCAGAGGGAGAAGAAGGCTCCATGCTGGGAGCCCGATGTGGGACTCAATCCCAGGACCCCAAAATCACGACCCAAGCCAAAGACAGATACTCAACTGCTGAGCCACCAAGTGCCCCTGCAAAAAAAAATTTAAAGACAACAAAACCTTCTAGTAATCGGTCTGCTTTTGAATATCACCATGCACCAACAACTCTAAATATTACCGGTGATGAAATATTCCTCCCTAAAGGGCAGACTTGCTCCCAGCCACCGCCCAGACACACGGGAAGAAGCAATCACCTCATTTGTGATCTCTGGTCTCCCTGAGGCCTCATTTTTGTTCTTATCACAGTGTTTCCCCCCTCCTCCGGGGGGCCCATTGGACCATCTCCAGTGGTGCTGAATGCAGTGGGCTCCTGTTCTTCCTGTGCCTCAGCGTGAGGCCCTACCCCCTGTGTCCATGAACACCCCCAACATGGCTCCATTCATTTCTGCAGGGGCTGCTTGTGAGATCAGATTGGGGGATGGACGTGGGCAGAAGTGGATGCATTGCCCATGCTGTGCCCTACACTTGTCCCAGCTGCCTGGCGGCTTCTGTGTCCCATCTCACCCATTTTTCCTCCACACCCCACCCCACTCTGGGGCAAATCCAGCGAGCAGCTCCTTCTGCTTTGTCACTCTCTCACCCATGCATCACCGTGTCTTTCAGAGATGGGACCCCTGGCTGCTTGCCATCTGGCTTCTGGCTCTTCCTGTTCCCATCATAGCTGTTCAGCCTTAGCCTTTCCATTTGTACCTCCTCATGGGAAACCTAAAGCCCAGCATGGTTTTCTAGGGAAGTTTTAGATTGTTGGAAGACAAGGAAGAAGTGGTCAACCAAATAAGTAACCTTAGAAAAATCAGAGTACGTTCCTAGTAGAGGCGCCTGCGTGGCTCAGTTGATTCAGCATCTGACTCTTGATTTTGGCTCAGGTCATGATCTCAGGGCATGAGATTGAGCCCCACTTTGGGTTCCGTGCTCAGCATGGAGTCTGCTTGAGATTCTCTCTCTCCTTCTACCCCTCCCCTACACTTGTGCACACTCTCTCTTTTCCTTTCTCTCTAAAATAAATAAATCTTTTTTTTAAAAAAGAGTACCTACCTGTAGAATTGTTCTGAGGATTAAACAGGTTAAAACAGAACATATCAATAGTTAACAATATTTGAAAGTTTTTAATACATAATAGTAGTAAAAACAGCACTTAGCATGTAGCTACTGATTTGTGGTAG